GTTATTAAGTCTAAATACAAGCGTAGGGCGCGCGCGCGCGCGCACACACACACACACACACACACACAACTTCCCTACCCACAGGACTCTTACAACCACAGGGCAGTGCTGATAATAGGAATCTGAGGTTAAAGCAAAATAAAGACAAAAGGAGAAGTGTTCAGGTTACGGTGTGGATGAGGGTGCGACAGGAAGCGCAGACCCCAACTCCAAGTCAACCAGACTGGCAGGCAAGCTCGTCAGCAGCTCGTAAACCGACGCGGCCCACGGGCTCCGCAGAAACAAACCAGACCTTTGCTCTGAGCGAGGGGCAGCTCGAGAGGCTGACCCGAGCCAGAACCACACCCTTCACTGAGCTGGCTCATTCCCCGGATCCGCCCACAGAGTCACCCCGCCCAGGCTCGAGGGGCCCCGGAATCCTCCGACCAGCTGGCCATCCGCTAGGGTACCAGTGTGAGAGAAGTGGGAACTTGCCCAGCCAAACGTCAATTTGCGCCCCAGTTACCTTACTCGCGCCCGCGACGGTGGCAACTCCAGAGGCCCAGGACATCCCCTGGTCCCGATGCCCGCTGGGAAATGTAGTTCTGCGCTCGAACCAAGACTTCTCTACTCGAACGCTCCGAGCGTTTGTTTAGTTTCGCGTTTACTTCCTCCAAGGACTTGGAACTCGGGCTCCGCCCCCAGGTGGCGCGCTGCACCCTGGGTATTGTAGTCTTGGTTCGCTTCCGTGGTTGACGGCTGGAACGGAGACGCACCGCGGAAGCGGAACTCCGTTACCTCATTGGATGCCGCCCCGATACGTTACTGCGCAGGCTGTGGTGGCGTCGTAACGCCTCGGGGAAAGGGAAGCGGACGGCACCGCGAATTGCTGCCTCTGGCTTTTTATTTTTCTGCTGACAGGATTTGGTCACTGGTTCTTCATCTTTTGTCTGTTGCACGCATCCAGCCCTCCCCATTTGCTTTCCCACTCCTTGGATCCAGCCCTCTGGGCTTTCACGCCAGTTCTCTCACCCCGCCGTGAGCCCCTCCTGGTCCCCGGGCGGGCCTGGCACGGAGGCGGTAACTATGGAGAATATGGCGGAGGAGGAGCTGCTACCCCAGGAGAAGGAGGAGGTGGAGGTGGCCCAGGTCCAGGTCCCGACCCCAGCTCCGGCCCCGGATTCGGCCCCGGCCCCGGACTCGGCTCCGACTCCGGCCTCGGCTCCAGCCCCAGCCCCTGCCCTGGCCCAGGCTCCGGCCCTGTCCCCGTCCCTAGCCTCTGCCCCTGACGAGGCTGAAAGCAGTAAGTGCAGGAGGCCCAGATCTTTCTGCCGCAAGAGAAGCGAGAAAGTGCGCCTTGCTGGGGAGTAGGGGAGGCCCTTCACTGGGATGGTTTTTATGGGGAAAGGCAGGTTTAGGGATGTGGGGGGAGGAAGGAGGGACCCGTGTAGTGGGTGAAGCGGGTACAGAATGGGAGAAGGCATCTCCACAAACCTCGAGGACATCATGGTAGAGGATTTGTGGAGGCCAGGGGTGCTGCAGATAGAAGGAAATGATGAGGTTGAGGGCTTTTTCGTTAAAGGGGGTCTTTTCTGATAGGAAAATAGGAAGTTACACCTAATTTGGTAGTTTCCCTCTCAGCCCCGTCTACCATGGTTCACGAAGTCCTTCGAAAAGTGACATGGTAACCGAGGCAACCTGTTTACTGTAGTAGATCCTAGCTGCCAGATTTAGAAACCGTTGCTGTCAAGTAGCTTTTATGCTCGACACGCACAAATAGATGAGTTTTTATTATTTAATTTTCTTCAGCACCTTGCTTCCAAAAAGAATTTGAGGCTGATAAGTAGTTTAAGAAAGGGTCGACTAAATTACAGATGTCTTCCCTCAGACATAAATGCCAGTTGTGTTTTGTACTCCAGTTCCATCAGAAGTCGACTGTTGAAAATTATTAGCCCATTATTACTGTGCTTCTGTATGTGCGTGCATGTTTTGTAAGTGGTGATTTAGGGGACCGTAAGGAATAACACTCAAGAATCTTGTGAATGTTTTAAATGTAAAGTCTAAGGGTTTTGTTTTGTTTTGTTTTGTGGGCCATAAATTGACCCTTAATGCTCTATCTGAATTATAACAAAATGATTTAAATTAATTCATTTTCTTTCCTACTTCTAGGCCAGTTGTGAATTTAATGTTTATAAAACACTTGGATAGTTATAGTTTAATAGAGTTGTGCAATTTTAAAGCCATATATAAATTGTTATAGTAGATTAAAGAGTAGAGCTGATCACAGCAAAGACAAAGACAGCGTGCCTCTGGTAGGCCCCTCCTCCTCATACTAAATCAGAACTGCTAGGTACAAGATAAGGACAGTTGCTTCTTCACCCACAACTACAGCTGGGGGTTGGGGGTGGTACATTCTCCTGAGTAAGTAGCCTCCCTTCCCTCCAGGTTGGATTTGTTTGTATTAATCAGAATTGGTTCAGCAGCTTTAGGGAATGCATGCTTCTTCAACTCCCCACCAGCAACAATATTTTAAACATAGTTTGGGAAGATATATATTCTAGAATTTACAAGTATGTCATTTGAGGAATGTATGATGTTTGAGAAACCTGAAAATGGATTACAGGGACAAATATATAATGATTTAGAAATCTGAAATGCATTGGAAATACATATTAATCTCACTTTAAAAATTATTTTTATACGGTCTAGTTATTTGAAATCAGTCTTAAGTAGGCAGGATGAAGATGACACATCTGAAATAGAATTGAAAAATGAGGAAAAAGTAACAGAAGTTGTAAAATAACCTCCTAGCGTTTTGGATTCATCTGTTTAACAGGAGGTTTGCCTATTGACTTCTGGATTATTAGGGTGTTAGAAAAAGTTTGAGTGATTTAACTACAGATTGTCTGATATCTACTATTTTGAACCAGAAAGTAATTTCAGGCATATCATGAATCTTTAGACAGATCTTTGAGAGTTCTAATAGTGGACCACAGAATTTTCATTGTTCTCTTCTAACTTATCAGGTCCTTTTCTCTTATTTTATACTACTTAGAAAGATTTCAGAAAGCATATCTTTACATAGTACTGTATATCTTGTTTCACATACACAGATCTTTGAACTTTGGAAGCCAAAAGCCTTTATGACTACAAATGAAATGGATTGGTTTATACACATGGATTCATTGCCTGAATCTTACTGTCTCATCTAACAAAAGATTTTGCTCAAATGGGAAAAAAATTTTGCCTATTTATAGAAATTTTCTCTTCATAAAGTCACTTGAACAGTACCTAGTGTAATAAGTTAACCAATAATATACGTTGCTCTTTTTCTCTTTTAAAAATGAAGTAAAAATTTGTCTTTTAATAAATTTGAGTAGGAATATCTGATGGTGCTGAATTGAATTCCAAAATTACTGACTTTAGTATGCTACTGCATCTAAAATTGACTAATGATTTTTAAAAAATATTTAACAAACTGTAGTGCCTGCTGTGTGCAAGATATTGTATTAGGCACGTAGTCATTACAAAACTGAGTAAGGCATAGCCCCTGCCTTCTTACTGCTTATTTGTGGAGGAGACAAATAAGGGCACAAATTATACTGAAGAGTTAAAAAAAAAAAAAAAAAAAAAAAAAAAAAAAAAAAAAAAAGAAGTGGGAGTGAAGCTTGGAGAGGAATAGGCAGGAAGGTAGCAATGACAAGAACAGAATTTAAAAGGCTTAAGGTTCTAAATTGTATAACCTAATTGTATAATGACTACTAGCGAGCCCTACGGTTTACCGTTTTCTGTCTAGTTAGGGATTTTTCCTGTCAATTTTCATCTCCTAGTCTTGTATTTGTATTTTCAAGCTCCCACTTAGTAAATATTACTTTCCTTGGAGATATGTATATTCAAGTCTCTCCTTAAAAAAAAAAAAAAAAAAAGAAAAACTACAGTCCCATCTATCTCCTTTTTTATACTGCCACCTTTTTTGAAAGAAGTAATCTATATGGTTTTCTATATTTTGTGTTTTTTTTTCTAGTCCCATTGTATTCCACAACACCTCACTGAACCTTTTTTGTAAAGGTCACTGGAGACCTGCTAATACTAAATCCAGTGGTCTTTTATTGATCTATGCAACTATTTGTGATAGTGTTGAACATTTGTCTTTTACATTCTCTTTTCTCTTGGCTTCTATCTTATCTTGATTCTCCTTATCATTTATTCTTTTTGAATCTACCCTTCTGATTGTTTTTCCTTAGTGTCTCTTATGTTACCTGCATCTCTCCATACCTCATTTCCAAATTGCATCTATTTATACTAATCAGCAGAGGGTTCACAGCAGCTTTGGGTAATGCATCTTTGGGTAATAATCTTGGGTAAGATTTATTCATATATTCCAAAGTTTACAAGTATGACATTTGAAGAATGTATAATGTTTGAGAAACCTAAAAATGTGTTACTGGGGCTGGACTTTGCCCTTTTTCTTCTCTTTTTTCACAATGTTTTTTTCCTTGGGCTTTCTTAAGCTCCTAGTTTCACCTTACGCGTATTTATGATTTATATCCCTCTTGAGCTCCAAAAACAGTTCAACTGCATAAACTAAACTTGAATATGAATACTGGTATTACCTCAAACACACTATGTCAAAAACTAAATTCCCTTTTCTCCTTTCCTTTTCTACCCAAAATATTTTCCTCTTCCTTCATTGGTTAATGGTACCATTATTCTCAACTATATAAACCTGAAATCTTTTTAGAATCATTCTTGAACTTACTTTTCATTCACAGTTATTTCTCAAATCCAAAGTTCTCTGGTTTTTTTTTTTTTAACCATCTATTCTGTACCTTTCCATTGCTAATTCTCACTTCAGTTACTGTCTTAGGTTCTGCAGCCAGAGATAACCTCCTTAAATGCATTCAGATCACATCATTCACTTCCTCAAAATCATGCAGACTTCACAATTAACTGAAGATGAAAGTCCAGCCTAGCTTTCATAGAATTTATGTTCTTCCATCATCTTTATACATTTTTGACTGCTTGTTCTCCTACCAACCCCATTCTCCAAACATACTACATTCCAGCCAGGGGCGGGATAGAGGTGGCTGTATTTTTTTTCTTTTTTTTCACATCCTGTGCCTTTGTTGATGAGGTTACTTCAGTTTATAAGGGCAGCCACCAAATCTCTGCTTATTGAAATTCTATGCATACCTTACATCTCAGTCAAATGCCACCTCTTCAGTGAAGACATTCCCAGAGGCAGTCATTGGAATTAATTCCCCCTTCCTATGTATGCCCACATCATAGTACCTTTACCTCAGTATTCATTTCATTCTGCCTTGTGTTATAGTTGGTTAACATATTAATATGACTTCCACCTGGTTGAAATTTCTTTATAAAGATAGGGGAGATGGCTTATGTTTCTTCAGCATTTTGTTCAGAGTAAAAACATTTTTTGTAGAATTATATTGAATAATTAAAGTTTAAAGGCGTGAAGTTACACAGTGGCATTTTTTTACCCAACTTTTTGCAGTCTGAGGCACGCTTGTCATACATAAGCTGAGTTGCAGCAGTATTCCCCATCTAGGCACCAGGACGCCATGCTACAGGAAATACAAGTGTCGGAGTCTGTTGACGTGATCAAATAACTGGAATTCAGATTGTTAAAACATAATCTTCTAACTCTTAAAATTTCCTTTCAGAGAGACACATCTCAATTCAAAGGCAGCTTGCTGATCTAGAGAAGTTAGCTTTCGTAACTGAAGGGGATTTTGACCATGCCAGTTCGTTGAACTCAGATAATCTTGATGCAGGTACTTCCATATTTGGAGGGGTTTGTCTCCCTTAATTTCTGATTTATATCAGAATTTCAACTCATGAAAAATTGCTGAAAATAGACTTGTTTATTGCCATTGAACTAGAGCAGTAATAAATAAAATGTTTTCATTCAGGAAATTGGTAGCCTTCTACATGCACAGGTGTTATGGGAATAAGTTGTTCATTGCTCCTCGAGGAAATTATAATTTCATGATATATAAGTGCTGTCCATTCTATAAGTTAGGAATTGCATTTGGCTATGAGTAACGGAAATCCCAAGAAACCGTGCCTTACGTAATAGAAAGGCTTATATTATGTCATGTAAAAGAAGTCCCACGGTGGGGAATTTTTAGGGCTGGTGCAAGAGTTCCTCATTGCTGTCACTGTCTCAAGCTCCTCTCTTTCTGCTTCGCCATCCTTAGTGCTTGAATTCTGTCCTCAGTATCACTTCATGGGTTTTTGAAGTAGGCAGAACATATTGAAAAATTAATTTTGCCTATACCTGCAGTGTGCTATATGGATTTAAAAAATAAGTCACTGATGATTTCTGTATATTTTTATTGCTTTAAACCTGAATTTGAGATTTTAGTTTTTTTGTCCCTATCAAAGTTTATATTTGAGATCTGTTACATCTCTAATTAAATAAGACTTGTATTTTTTATGATCCATATCTTTTCATTAATAAAGAAGGAAGAATTTAACAAATTCTCAAATAGGATACAGCAGGTTCTAACTATGCTCCCTGTCCCAGAATGGCAGTTATTTTGGATCCCATGTACTCCTTCCACTCCTCCCGCTTTTCTGACTCCACCTGTTAACTGTTTTTGTTGCTGCCCCAGAGTAGAATGCCACAGCAGGTGCTTATGCTTCCTGCCCAGCTCCTACCTCTCTGGGAGTGTGACAAGTGCTGCCCCTGATTCTCTCCCTGGCAGGCATTTTGGCTGGAGGGATATCATGTAGTTCATCACTTTCTCATTCTCTCTGTTCCCAAGGGCAACAAGGATATCAGCCACAGAGAGGAGAGTTTTAGGGTAAAAAATCAATCACTGACCATGTGCTAATACAGTTATTGTTAACTACCTGGTGAGGCAGAGATGATTTCTCCCTAACGTTAACATAGACATTATCTAAGAAGTGTGTGTGTTGTGTGGAGGGAGTCCCCTATGACTTCTTTTGTAGCTAAGTCAAGGTATTAGTAGCTAGTATATCTGTGCTTTATTGGTTTTTTGTTTTGTTTTGTTTTGTTTGTTTTTTGTTTTTTTTTGGCCAGGAAACAAACAGTCTTGTCCATTGTGCCCTAAGGAAAAATTCAGAGCTTGTAATAGCCATAAGCTTCGTCGTCACCTTCAAAATTTACACTGGAAAGTCTCGGTTGAATTTGAAGGTTAGTAGTTTTATGCTTGCTAAACATAAATGAAATTCAAGATTCAGTACCAGTTTTGGAATTTTATTGTGAACATAATCAAATATTTTCCATTTAAAATTTCTGAGGGATTTAATGACCCTCTTTTAACGTGTTTATTAATAAAAGGCCATGTAGCTCTCTGGCAACAAGATGTATGTTGCAAGTGTAGTTTAGTTTAGCAAACATTTATTAAGCATCTGTTCTACACTGGGTACTTTGCTTGGCCCTGGGGGGTCCCCATAACTTGTTGAACGACTACCATTTGACACATTCTTTTGAAGGTATAATGATTATGAAACGAAATAAAATATGTAAGTATTGGAAAAGAGAAGACAGTATCTTTTTTCTGCTGATAGCTTCAAAAAACTAGAGTTAATTAGAGTATGTAGAATGGTAGTGGGATATAAGATAAATATTTGAAATGATTGCCTTTCTCTACTCTAGATAAATGGAAATTAGGAAAAAGATACCAATTGTGATAATGACAAAAATGACATAATTTGGGGGACTAAATTTAACAAGAGGGCTCATATAAAGAATAAAGTTGAAGGACAAAAAAATGAGATCTTAGGGGTGCCTGGGTGGCTCAGTTGGTTAAGCGTCTGGCTCTTGGTTTTGGCTCAGGTCATGATCTCACAGTTCGTTGATTTGAGCCCCACATCAGGCTCTGCACTGACAGTACGGAGTCTGCTTGGAATTCTCTCTCTCTGCCCCACCCCCCCTTGTTCTGTAAAATAAATAAACATTTTTAAAAATTGAGGTTTTATCAAGTTAAAAGATTTCCTAAGTATAATGAATTATTATTAGATTTTGGAGTGAATTATGTGAATTATACCATTTTTGGAAAGAGATCTGGCAACATTTTTAAAATTTAAAATGTATATATCTCCCAGGCACTCCCTCCTTTGGGAGTAAAAGAATCAATAGGCAAGAATAGATATACAAGAATATTTATTGCAGCTTGTACTTAGTGACAAAAACTTGAAACTAAAATAAAAGGAATGGTTGAATACATTATGGTACATAAGTGCCATGACATATTATGCAGGCATTGTAAAAAGTATGTGTTAGATGAGTACTAGCTTACTTGGAAGGATTTCCATGATAAACTGCAATTGAATACAATATATATGGAAGATTTTGTGATACTACATTTGGATAAAAACCAAAAATACCCCCCCCAAAGCCCTAAATATCAGTCTTCAGCATATGTATATTTACATTTGAATATGATTTTGTGAGTATAGGTGTTATTAAGTGTGGTTATCTGGAGTTTGAACCAAACCGGATGAAATAGCCAGTATGAGACACCCAGAAAAGAAGCCAGAACTATTTTCTTAGTGGAACTGGTACAAGGTTCTCACTTGTTCCTTAGGGAAGAAGGAATTAGAGACTTAATTCAGAAGCCATCCTGTCTTTTATGTTTAATTATACATAAGAATGTGTAGTAAATCATGTTGACTTTTTATCAAAAAAGAGAAATGTCTCATTTTAATTAAAAAGGTCTCTTTTGTATTCTTTATTTAAGCCATTGTTTAACCATTAGGTTTAGTCTTCCTCCTTCAAGTTATTCTGGTAAATGGCTCCTGGTATTTCTTTACTCTCTTAAGTACATTAAGTTGGGTTTTTTCACATGGTGATCTGGTAGATGGCGAGTGTCATAGTTTTTGTCCTAGCAAGCAGGTCTCAAAGTAGTTGACAAATATGTTTAAGGTAGAAGCATCAAGACCTCTCAAAGGGATAGAAGTGAGATGTGAGGGAGAAAAAAGCCAAGAATGGCGGTGGTCCAGAGCCAGTTCTGGTGGTCCAGAGCCGATGGCCAAGAAAGAATTCTTGAAGACGTCTTTGGTATAAAAAGGTGATTTTATTAAAGCATGAGGACAGGACATGTGGGCAGGAAGAGCTGTACTATAAGTGTGGGGGGTAACTAGTTTACGGAGGGGGTGGGGGAGATAGAATCAAGGGGGAATTTCCAAAGAGACTGTCACATGCTAAAGGCTTATTGGAGGCCTAGCTGTAGTTAAGCTAAAGTTGTTTTTCCCTCCAGCAAGACATTAAGACTGTAGAGAGTTCCTATACTCTGGTTTATTGATGGGATTGCCTTTTTCTAGTAAACTGGTGGAGACTTAATCAGTTTGACCATTTGTTTTTTGGGTAGCCAGGAGTGTCCAAGGAATATCATACAGGTGGGGGGGGGAGGTGCTTTTAGCCTCACTTTGCCCTCAGCTCTCCCCATCCTCCCTCATCATTAAGACCAGGTACTGGGGAAGAAGGCCAAGACCGCAGATTCAGGCATGCAAAGGTTTAGATGCATCTGCTGGAGATGTCAGTAGCTTGTCCAGATATGAATCTCGGGTTTGGGGAAAGGTCTGGGCTAGAGATACAAGTTTGGGAATTGTCAGACTACAAATAGTATTTAAAGCTATATGACTGGATGGGATAACCATAGGAGTACATATCAGTGGAAAAAAAGAAGTTGCTGAGTCCGGAAATACTTCCGTATGTACAAGTAAGAGAAACAATTAGATGTAAGGAATGAGAAGAAAGGAGTTGGAGATCACTTAAAGTTAGGAGCAACTGGAAGGCATTATCATTCATTTAAAAAGTGGAAAAGAGACCTGGTTCAAGGGGAAATGATATATTTATAGTCCATGACAGTAGATTTTGAAATGCTGACCTGATAACCCAGGCATGCATCCTCAGTAGGCAATTAGAAATAGAGATCTGGCCTTCAGTAAGGAGTTAGTAACTACAACTAGAATTTGGAATTCCTTCCCCCAGTGGAGATAGTTGCAGTCATAAAAGGCATTAAAATTACCAAGGAAACGAGGGAAAACAGTCATGTAGCAGAGCAAGCCTACAGAAAGTCTGCGTTTTAGAGTATAACAGAGGGAAGAGGAGCTGTGAAGAAGATTAAGAAGGGTGGGAGAGAACTAAGTGCCGTATCATCAATGGAAGAAGAGGCTATGTAATGGCAAATGTAGCATGAGGCAAAGAAGATGAAGCCTAAGAAAAGTCAACATGACAGAGAATAGATGAGAAAATTGAGTCCCAAAGAAGCTAACCAAGACAATGCACGGTCTCGGCAGAACCAGAATTCAAACCTGGATCTCATATATTTGCTTTTATGCTATATCTTATATAACAAATATCTAAAACTAACAGTCTCATTCAAATAAATTACAATATTATAAATACAAGAAGAATTCCAGTTATTCTTATAAAATTTGCTAATAATTTTTAATGATAATGGACTATTTAGTGAACAGTGATATGACAACCAGCCATTCTTCACTTTAGGTTACAGGATGTGCATCTGTCACTTACCTTGTCGACCAGTGAAACCAAACATTATTGGAGAACAGGTAATCAGATGTTAGATTTATTTTTAAATTTTGCCCTCTTTAAAGAAAGCACAATTTTTACTTGCTCTAAGGCTATGGGCATATCTGGCAATGAGGTTTACTTTAAGATTTTGTATCTGAGTGCTTTCAGATTATCCTAGCAGGAAAAATATGAACTATATGGAAAAAAGAGTTGCTGTATTGAACTTTTCATTTTATAATTTTAAATTTTAGTCAGAGAAACTGTTTTCTTATGTTCAAAAGGGAAATTGACCTATTTACTAATTTTGGAATGGAGAATTTAAATAAAAATTAAATTTTTTCTTTTGTAATAAATTTTGATTCTGGAATAAAAGCCTTCAATTTCTGTGACTTAGTAAGTATCTTTGTGTCAATTCATATTTATCTTCTCTATACTTTTAATTTGTCAAAGGACAGTATCAAGAATCTTTCTGAAATCTTAATAATTCTTTAAAAAGTACATGTGTTCATTTTTAGCACAGATGTGAATTTTGGGGAATACAAATTACATAATATTTTTTAGTGCTGCTATCTTGAGTGAATACTAGCTTAATGAGGCCTCGTTATTAATTTTTTTTCATGTCACTAAAAAGAGTAAAGTGCTGGGGAGAAAAAACCCAAAAATTTCTTACATAGTAATTAGGACAATGCTTGGCCCATCGGCCTTATCCAGGACATTTTGAATATGATAACCACAGTACCATAAGGAACTCTGCAGTGTTCTCAACTTGCTGTTTGATCCCAAGTAAATAGGATCTAAGATCTTAGAAGATCTAAGAGTAAAAGTCATCAAAACTAGGAAAAAGCCAGTGGAGTAGTCTTTTTATTCTCAACTAAATTTTAAAGAAATTTTCAAGTGAGAATTTTTTACTTGGACAAATAGACTTTTAAAAAAAAGTCTTTTTTTAAGATTTAAGTAATCTCTATACCCAACGTGGGGCTCGAACTCACAACCCTGAGATTAAGAGTCGCACATTCCACCAACTGAGCCAGCCAAGTGCCCCAAGACTTATTATGTCTCTAACATTTTGTGATGTGCTGAAACTAACTGAAATTTCTAGAAATATTGAAAGCTGATTGTTAAATATGGCCATTATTAAAAATTAAATTGTATAAACTTTAAGGTGAATATATTACAAAGGTAATAATATTCAAATCTCATCACTTCCTAATTATTTTACTACATTTTTGTATTATCCACCTGGTAGCCATGTTTTCCAGTATGATATTATCTATCTATTCCCAAATTCACATTTAGTGATAGCATATGAGTAGCTTGAAATCTGCAACAATCATAGTTTGAAATTGGCCATGATAGAGTATATATGCCACAGAAAGCAGCAAACACTTTAAGTCAGGGCTTTATTTTCCTGGAGAACAATTGTTAAACATCTACCAGCACAGTGCTGCTAATGTTATACCATTTGTAAGTGCTACTTATAGAAAATAGGGTACAGTTATTTGCTGATTAGAATGAATGAACAAAATAAATTAAATTAGTGGTCTATTATAAAGTAAGTAAAAATCATATGTAAATATAGATAAGGAAATAAAGATCCCTTCAAAGTCCCATGGCAATATTAATACTCTCTTCTCTACCATTAAACCCAAGATATGCTAACATACTTAAATTTGCAATCTTAAATAAACTTCTGTTTCATTGTTTTAGTAACTTACCTGTATATTTAAATTAAATACTCTGTTTGATAGATATCCAGTAAAATGGGCGCCCATTATCATTGTATCATTTGTTCAGCAACAATCACCAGAAGGACCGATATGCTGGGACATGTTAGGCGACATGTGAATAAAGGAGAGACGAAATCCAAGTATATTGCTGGTAAGTTGAGCAATATATTAATAGGTAAATTCTTAAATAATGGTCCAGTTATTATTTTCAGACATCAAGTAGATAAAATATAGTGACTTCACCATTTAATTGACTACTAATCCATGACTTCAGGTTTCTTTTCTTTCTGTGAGGCTCCTCGTAACATTTAACTGATTGATGCCAAAGTAAATATAGGTATCTTAATGAAAGATTATAGATAAGTATGTTATACTTACTGTTGAAAAACACTGGAAAAAGGAAATAGAGTGATATAAAGATCATTTATTATCCTGAAGTGCTATCAGGTTATTAATAGGTTATTATTACTGAGGCAGCCCTTCTCAAAATTAAGATTAATTAAGACATCATGCCCTACGGCATCCATTGTATGTAATGAATTAACTTCTCTCCGACACATCTAAAATGGTACTATGTACCTTTTAAGAATTGAAAAAAATAATTTTCTGTAGAGCTTAATTTTCTAATAGAATCTGGTTTGAGAAAGGCTGATCATGTGAAATATGTCACATGCCACTTAGGTAGGCGTAGAATATATAATGCAACACTAGGAAAGGTTACGATGATTTGGCACTGTAAAAAAAGAAATATGGGGGCAGCTGGGTTGCTCAGTCAGTTGAGCATCTGTCTCTTGATTTTGGCTCAGGTCGTGATCCCAGGGTTGCAGGATCAAGCCCAGGGTTGGTCTCTTTGCTGAGTATGTAGCCTGCTTAAGATTCTCTCTCTCTCTCTTCCTCTGCACTCTGCTGCTCTCCACTGCTAGTGCATTCTCTGTCTCTAAAAAAAAAAAAAAAAAAAAAAAAAAAAAAAAAAAAAAAAAAAAAAGAAGGAAAGAGATATAGTTGCCATGTAGTTAACATTCTGATCGTAATATTATCAAGAAATCCAAACATAAAGAATCTCGGTTATTTTTCCCCACACATGATATGTATGTCTCATTTCTTAAATATTTAAAATATACACACACAAATATATCAGTATTTCATTTGGGTTTATAGCTAAATGATTCTAATGTATACTAAATGTAGAATCTTTTTTTTTCTGTTACTTTATACCCATTTGAATGTAATTTGTGATTTAAAATTATAATCATAAGAAAGTGTTCTGAAGGGGCACCTGGGTGGCTCAGTTAGTTAAGCGTCTGACTTTGGCTCAGGTCATGATCTCACGGGTTTGAGCCCCACATCGGGCTCTGTGCTGACAACTAAGAGCCTGAAGCCTGTTTCCCATTCTGTGTCTTCCCCTCTCTCTGTCCCTCTCCTGCTTGTGCTCTGTGTGTATCTCTCTCTCAAAAATAAATAAACATTTAAAAAAAGTTCTGAAATCTAGCATGCTCAGGAAGTATAGTGATTCTTAGTCATTCATGATAGCTAATGGAATGAAACCATACAGAGATACTAATTTTATAACAGTTATACCACAGTAAGATATGTTGAACAGCCAACCTATGTAAATGCAGCATAGTAGTTTGATGAATAATAAACGTATTTTAGAATTTTTATAATGGTTTTATGTTAGGTTAATTGTTCTTAACTAGGTTTCATAATATAGATGTATTATGTTCTAGGCAGATAAGATTTTAACTTAAACTTTAATTGCCCAAATACTTAATTGAATGCTACTCTTTCCTACAGACAGTACTGAACAGATAGATCACTTTAGGGTTTTTCTTCTTTGATATCTGCCTGGTTGATTACATTAACAAAGTATTATAAAGGAAAGTTATTTCTTTTAATGTATATTGTTTTAGATACTTAGAATTATTTTGTATTTCACTGGAAATCTTTGTTTTTCATCTTAGCTTCTGCTGCTAAACCACCTAATGAAATTTTGAAAGAGGCAGACACAGATGTACAAGTTTGTCCTAACTATTCTATACCTCAAAAAACAGATTCCTATTTTAATCCCAAAATGAAACTAAATCGGTAAGATGAATTGAAAAAAGGGTTATGGGATGTTTCAAATGATTACAAATGTGACCTTCTTTTTATGTTCTAATATATTGAAATTTAAAACTGGGTACAGAATGAAAATCATCTGTTTTAGTATTTTTCAGAATGATTGTTTTCTTTTTTTCCTACCAAACTAATTTCTTTCTCAGTAAAATAGGCCTGCCTTTATATAATTAATGAACAGGCTGGTGCTTTAGTGGGCAAGTTTTATTTATGAAACCATTATTCATGGTGAATGCTTGTTTATAGAACCCAGTTAGATTGATAGTTTAATTTCACACATGTTTAGTTCTTGTACTACTAGGTAAAGAATATGTTACTACGTCTTCTTTCAAAATAGTTTGTATAGTAAATAGGAACCCTAATTCTTACTATTCTTAAATAAAATCTAGAGTGATGAAGCCATGATGCAGTAAGATTATTTCAGATTATTATACTTTTTTCTAGACAGCTAATATTTTGTACATTGGCTGCTTTGGCCAAGGAACGAAAACCTTTGGAATGTCTAGATGCCTTTGGAGCCACTGGTAAGTAATGAAGCTTTTTTTGGATCCCACTTTAATTATCAGATTTATGCAGTATCTTTTCTTGGAAAATTTATATGGATATTATATCTAGCAGAATATTTTTACATAAAAAGTAAAGACCCAAGGTAAATATTTTTATTGTGGAAAAATTTCAAATGTATACAAAAGTAGAGTATAATAAATGAATCCCTGTGTATCTCTGTCACTCACTTCAAAAATTATCAACTTATGCTTGTTCGTGTATATGTATCTCATGCACTTACCCTTATACCTCCTCCACCATCTTTCATCCCTATTACTTTGAAACAGATTACAAATATGTCATTTTATCTGTAAATATTTCAGTTGGATCTCTAAAAGATAAGGACTTTACAAAAATAAAACCTTGATACCATTATCACACATTGATATCATCAAATGTTTAGCTATGCTAAACATAGCTAGAGCTAGGATCTCACAGTTTCTTAAAAAATCAAGTAGGAATTCAGATGAGGACTATGCATTTTCATTGTTTGAGATATCGAAGTGTCCTTTTGCTCTGTATTCATTTCCATCATTTTGTTTGCGTGTGTGATGATTATTTGTTGACATACAGCTTGTCTATATGTCTATTGTCTTTTCCAGAGTCTAGATTTTTGCTGATGGCAAAAATCATAGCTCATAAAACCTGTTTCTTTATCTCTAGTATTTCTGTATATTGGTAGTTATCTCCAGTATTTCTGTATATTGGTAGTTGAATCTTCAGGTTTGATCAGATTCAAATAGGATTTTTTTTTTTTTTCAAGAATACTTGTTTACTGCAATTAGGAAGTATTTGATGTTTGGTTGTCTCTCTTTTTTTGTGATGTGATAAATTGCCTAGTCATTAGGCAGTGGGGTAAGGTGAAATTTTAAAGACTGAGAACATTTTCCTAAAAGAACTTAACAGTAAAGAAACGATCATGGAAGAGTAGAAAATTTCTAAGAAGCCACCTGTACCTAATCCAAGTCTTTCTTTTTAAAGGTTAGAGGAGTATATTCTTGGGAAGTTTGTAATAAAAGGATGAAAGTGTGAGTTAGCTCTCCTTTTCAAGTTCCTCTTCACAGGGAAAAGTAGTGGTTAAAAGCAATTTAATATCTCGCATAATCTGATCCCAACCTACTTTTCCAAATTTAGTTTTCAGCATTTTCCCTTGTACATAACCCTTTACATTTTTTTCTTTTCTTTTTTTTTTCCTTTCTTTTTTTTTTTTTTTTTTTTTTTTTTTTTTTTTTTTTTACATTTTATCTATTTCACTCATCCCCTTACCCAGCTCCCTTCTGGTGACTACCAATTTGTTCTCTGTATTTAAGAGTCTGTTGTTTTGTTTGTCTCTTTTTTTCCCTTTGTTTGTTTTGTTTCTTAAATTCCACGTATGAGTGAAATCTTGGTATTTATCTTTGTCTGTTTCACTTAGCATTATACTCTCTAAGTCCATCTGTGTTGTTGCAGATGGCAATATTTCATTCTTTTTTATGGTTGAAAGGTATTCCATTGTATATATACCCCATTTTTATTCTATCAGTGGATACTTGGGTTGCTTTTATATCTTAACTATTATAAAAAATGCCGCAGTAAACATAGGGATGCATGCATATATTTTTTTGAATGTGTTTACATTTTCTTTGGGTAAATAGTCAGTAGTGGAATTACTGGCTCATGTGGTAATTCTGTTATTTTTTTGAAGAATTTCCATACTGTTTCCCACAGTGACTGCAGCAATTTACATTTCCACCCACAGTGCATGAGGGTTTCTTTTTCTCTGCACCCTCACCAACACTTATCTTGATTTTTTTGATTCTAGCCATTCTTACAGGTGTAAGGGTGATACTTCATTTTTATTTGCCTTTTACTCATGATTAGTGATGTTGAGCATGTTTTGATGTGTCTCTTGGCCATTTGTGTGTCTTCTTTGGACTCTTGACCACCTTCACCCAATTCTTCCACCCTCTGCCCCCAACTCTGGCAACCACAAATCTGATCTCTGTTTCTATGAGTTTGGTATTTTTAGATTCCACATATAAGTGAAATCATACAATGTTTGTTTTTCTCTCTTTCACTTAACATAGCGCCCCCACAGTTCATCTATGGTGTCACAAAAGACAGGATTTCCTTCTTTTTTATGGCCAAATAGTATTTTATTGTGGGTGTATATGTGTGTGTGTATATCACATTTTCTTTATCCATCAATGGACACGGGTTGTTTCCATGTCTTGGCTATTGTAAATAATGCTGAAATGAACTACTCTTTTTTTCACCTGAAATCATTAAAGCTAATGTTTGGGGAAGATCTTTTCAGTCCTTTCTTTTAATGTTCCTTTGTAAATTTATATCCGTTCATAGCAGTTAGTCTGCATGCTTCCCCATCTCTAAAATGTGAATATCAGAACTTATTTCACAAGCTTGTTATGAGAATATGAAAATTTTTGTAAAGACCGTAGTGCATAGTAGATGTTAAATATTTACTTTTATGAGGCACATGTATGGAAAAGCTGGTCTATACTTTTAGTACATGGGGGTTTTCTAATCCACAGTGGCTGGGCCCGTGTCACCATCTCCTTTGTAATGAATGTCCCCTCTGACTCTAATCCAGTAGGTATAGAGAGCCTATGAGAAGAGGCTTTCTTGGTCTGAATTCTTGATCTTTGCTTACATGTACAAAGTTGTTCTCTTCAATTCACAGTGATGCTATTGTGCAGTTTTGGAAAAATATTGGTCCAGTAAAGTTGTTTTCATATTTTGGTGCATTAGGTAAACTTTAGCAGTGGGAGGAGTTCCAACTTCCCACCCACCAAGCAGAGTAACTCCACTCTTACTCACATTGTATGTTGGCTTTCTCTGTAAGATTTAGTTTGAAAAAAGCATTCCATTATAAGAAATTTTAAAAAAGAAAACCTATTCCCCATAATAAAGAACAAACAAAAATTTTATTTGAATCTGGATTATAGAAAAGTTTTGGAAGAATTATTAATGGAAATCTGCTCAACACATTTTTTGTGTGTGGTTACTTTTCTTCAGAGGCTTTGTAGTGAGTAAGTAGAAAAAGTTATGTATGAAAATACTAAGATTTTGAAACATGTGTTTTTGTTTTTATAAAAGAGTATATACTTTATTATTATATAGTGTTTTTATTCTTTAATTAATTTAAAAAATTCATTTTCTGGGGCGCCTGGGTGGCTCATTCAGTTAAGCATCTGACTTCAACTTGGGTCATGATCTCATGGTTTGTGGGTTCGAGTCCCGTGTTGGGTTCTGTGCTAATAGCTCAGAGCCTGGAGCCTGCTTTGGATTCTGTGTGTCCCTTTCTCTCTGCCCTTCCCCCATTCGCACTCTGTCTCTCTCTCTCTCTCTCAAAAATGAATAAATGTTAAAAAAAAATTTTTTTTAATTCATTTTCCTTCAAATTTTTCCTAAGGGATAATGGGATTACAATGGGCAAAACATCTCGGAAATGCAGTTAAGGTTACAATTAATGACTTGAATGAGAACTCTGTGACACTGATTCAGGAAAATTGCCATTTAAACAAGTTGAAAGTGGTGGTAGACAGTAAGGAAAAGGAAGAGAGTGATGATATTCTTGAAGAAGGAGAAGAAAATCTTGGTAACATTAAGGTGACCAAAATGGATGCCAATGTCCTAATGCATTTGAGATCCTTTGATTTCATGTAAGTGAAAAACTTTGCTGTGTCAGTTTCTAAACTGGCCTGGATTGGGGTGGGGGTGGGTGGGTGTTGGAGGGGTTAAAAATTAAGATGGTTGTTGTTTATTTGAATTAATACAGTTTTTTACCATTGGCCTAAGGAAAGCAGTAGGAACATTTTCTAGCATTTGAAATAAAATTCCTAAGCATGACAATTTTTCTCTAAAACTGATTGATTTTTATATGTCTAACATATCATATGGTCATTTTCTTACATAATTTAAAAACAGAATTATATGTTTAAGATAGATTTGTAAAATACTTTTGAATCCATGGAATTTTATCATTAGACATAATGACAATGGTACCATTTTGATTACTAGTATGATTTTAAATATGTCTGTATTCTTTCTGATTTTAGACATCTAGACCCTTTTGGAACATCGGTGAACTATCTAGATTCTGCATTCAGAAATATAAGAAACCTTGGCATAGTGTCTGTGACTTCTACAGATATCAGTTCTTTATATGCCAAGGCACAACATGTTGCCCGGCGTCACTATGGCTGTAATATTGTCCGAACTGAGTATTACAAGGAACTAGCAGCCAGAATTGTTGTAGCTGCAGTGGCAAGGTACCAGACTGATAGCAATGTGCCTAGTATGTTTGGCTGTGTGATAGAGCTACTATTACAAAAAGTGCCAGTTGCATTTTTCAAAAAATTCACAGGGTACAATTTCTGTATTCATGTCTGTGATCTTGATTTGTTTGGTAATCTTATGTCGTATCTGTTACAATTTGATTTAAAAACTTTTGTGTCTAGAATAGTTTACTCTCCAGTTAAAAATTTTATTAAAGTAAGTAGTAATAAAGAAGAGATAAGAATGAAAGTTAACTTCAAATCAGTTATTTTAATAACGTAGGGTAGGTGGGGATACCACCGTGAAAAGAAAAAGCAAAGGTTGTTTTTAGATTTAGAAAAAAATCAGTTTTATGTCCATTTCATCTCTTTACCTAGTTTGAAAAAAATGATGGCTTATATGGGCGCCTGGCTGGCTCATTTGACAAAGCATGTAACTCGTGATCTTGAAGTCATGGATTCAAGCCCCACATTGGGTGTAGAGATTACTAAAAAAATAATAATAATAAACATAAATAAATTTTAGAAATGATGGCTTATATACTTGATTCTGCAAAGTGATCTCACCCACAAAACAAAGTTCTTTTTTCATCAGGATTTCTAAAGAAAGCAAGGAAGATTTCTTTGAGCACCAGTTTTATTCAAAAACTTATGCTAGAAGAATATAACAATATAATATAAATTGACACTGAGAACATAGCTAATGCATGATCAGCCAGCTTGTTCACTAGCCTCAACACTAGCTTTCACAGCAGTTAAATTGAAATTCCTACCTTAGCATAATACAGATTATTAAACTTCATAGACCTTTGGAGTTATTCCTAATTAGCTGAAAACTCTGATATTCAGTTTGTATACCTACCAAGGACCTAGTATATGTGCTTAAAAATGTTTATAATGTAACATCAACAAGTTGAAATTAATACATATGAAATAAGTTTAGTACATATAATTGCAAAGGGAAAACTACATAAATGATGTATCAGTTAGAATTTAACCCAAAAGTCTATAAAGTTAACAGTGTCAGAAACTTTGCCTATTCATTTTTCACTTAACATTCAGCATCTGGTATACTATCCTGCAGGTAGTACTCAATCATATTGTTTAGAAGAAGCTTTTATAGAAAAAAAAAATAGATAAAAAGAAAGGGTGGTGGTGATGACAAGAAACAAATTGACACTGAAAATCAGAGAACGTAGTCTTTTTTTTTTTTAGATGTTTATTTTTGGGAGAGCATGAGCAGGGGAGGGGCAGAAAGAGGGGGACAGAGGATCCTAAGTGGGCTGCTAATAGCACAGAGCCCAGTGTGGGACTCAAACTCACAAATGGTGAGATCATGACCTAAGCTGAAGTCACACGCTTAACCAACTGAGCCACCCAGGCACCCTGAGAATCTAGTCTTATTGACTAGTCTTATTGACTTATTTCCATAATGGAAAATGTCTAGTGACTAAAGATTCTGTCAAGCATCCTTTATTTCCTGTGTTTCAATTTGTGTAAAGGTTATACTAATGATCTTTTAAAAACACTGCCACTAAGAATTGAATTTTCCGTATTTTCCCATAATCCATCCATAGTTTACTGTCCAATTAATATTGTCAATATAAAAATGCCAAAGAAACATGATGAGCCCCCAAAATAACTTAAAAATTTTTTGCAGAGCTGCAGCCCGATGTAACAAAGGCATTGAAGTACTGTTTGCAGTGGCTTTGGAACATTTTGTGTTGGTTGTTGTGCGAGTTTTGAGGGGGCCTACTTCTGCAGATGAAACAGCCAAGAAGATTCAGTACCTGATCCATTGTCAGTGGTGTGAAGAGAGAATTTTTCAGAAGGATGGTAATATGGTGGAAGGTAAATTCAAGCTTCTCTTGACTGTATATCGTGTTTATATACAAGCCTCCAATGAATAAGTCTTTATCACATCCCTAATTATACATGTTGTTGTCCTTTGATTTTAAAGATTACAGTGCTAACTTTATTTCCTATACTGGATTTCCTTTCATCAACAGACAAGACATGCGTGTGAGTTTATTAAAGTTATTTACTCATGCTGTATTCAATTTATGCTCTCTAGCCCTGCCCTCTGTTGAAACATCTAGAAATAACTTAGATTCCACTGTCACTAATTTTAGGAACATAAGTCAGATTACCTCTTTGTCTGGGTGTTTCAAATCATTAATTTTATAAGAATAATTATGTTTCTGGCTGAATACAAAAACCATCAGTTATAAAATTCATTCAGTAAACACATTTACTGAGACTCTACTATATGCCAGGCATGGGGATCAAAGAAAAAGATGAGGCTTATGCTGTTTCTATTTTACTTTTCTGGGACATAGAAACAGTTGCCCATTATTTTCTGTTAGAGCCTTCACATTTTTTAAGAACTCTTTAGATATTAGAGTGTAACCCCAGTGATACGAGTTGCAAATATTTTTTCTCATCACTTCTGTTGGCATCTATTTTTTAGTGTTATTTTGATTGCATTAAAGAGGATAGATATCATTGTGGTTTTCAAGGTTCCTAATAACTTCGTATGCTTTTCATTTGCACAAGTACTTTTGCTACAGTGTTAATTGATAGTGAGAATGGAAGGCATCCCGTCATTGTTCCTTTAGTTCTCTGTGGTGCTTTCTGATTCAAGCATGAGATACCTATCATTTATCATGTCAAGAAAATATCTTTCATTTCCAGTTTTACTGTATTTTAGCAAGATGTTGAATTTTGTCATGTATGTCAGCATCTGTGGAGATGATTGTGTGGTATTTCTCCTTAGGTCTACTGATTTGAGTAATCATAATAAAATTTCCCAATATTGAACAATTCTGTCTTTCTAAAATAAACTACTCTGCCAGGAAGTATTTTCTTAAGATGGATTCTGTTTGCAGGGCACTTGGGTGGCTCAGTCGGTTAAGCGTTGGGCTCTGCACTGACAGCATGGGACCTGCTATAGGTTCGCTGTCTCCCTCTCTCACTGCCCCTCCTCTGCTCACACTCTCTCTCAAAAGCTAATATATAAACAGGAAAAAAAAAGATGGATTCTATTTGCTAATTTTTTTTAAGTTTTTAAATTTATTTTGAGAGAGAGGGTAAGAGAGAGCAGGGGAGGGAGAGAGAGAGAATACCAAGAGGCTCCATGCTGTCAGTGCAGAGCCCCATGTAGGGCTAGAACTCACGAACTGTGAGATCATAACCTGAGCTGAGATCAAGAGTTGGATGTTTAACCGACTGAGCCACCCAGGGCTCCCAATTTGCTAATTTTTAAAATTTTGTTTTAATATTCATAAATGAGATGGTATATAGTTTTCCTTTTTAGTAGTAATTTTGGTTGGGCTTTGGAGTCTGTTTAAAAGGAATTTGGAACTTTGCCCTGTTTTTCAGTGGTTGGGAACAGTTTTAGCTTTAGCTTTTCGAAATTATTTACATAGAGTTGAGCCAAGTGGTATTCATTGGTTCCTTTTAATTTTCTTGGTTTCTGTGGTTATATTCTTGTTTTTTAAAATTTTTAGTAGCTGTCCTTTGCTTATGCTTTTGAACTTTTATCTACAGTAGTTGTTGTTTTTTTAATCAAACATTTTAAAGGATTTTTGACCTAATTTACTGTAAAGAAATTGGATTTATCTTTGCATTTTGCTTGCAATCATATAGACCTTGCAGAGTGTAAATGAGTCTTTCAAAGAAGTCAGTTCACTCAGAATTTTCTATAATTTTATCAACTTGTAATACATTGTTTCAAAAGTCAACTAGTTTCGTAAGTCTTAATAAAATAATGACCCCTGCCATACTCCCTAAAGTTACCAGCTAAAATATCAGAGCTATTTCTTCTAATGTTTACATCCCTATTTCTAAATGGCATGTTTATAGTACCTATAACTTCTTTCCATGGAAGAATATTCAGCTTCTTAAACCAACCTAGTCACATGCGTGTACCTCCCTTCTCCAGTGTTGGCTAAATCAGTATTCAGTGTTTATATTTCCATAAATATAAAACTATTGTTTACAAGTTGTATTAGTTATCTGTTGCTATGTAACAAATTAGTCCAACATTTAGTGGCTTAAAACAACATTTATTGTCTCATAGTTTCTCTGAGTTAAGAATCTGGGCATGGCTTAGCTGGGTCCACTAGCTCAGGGTCTCCAGGCTGCAATTAAGGTGTTTGCCAAGGCTGCAATCAAAGCCTGACTGGGTTAGGATCTGCCTACAAGCTTATTCACATAGTTACTCCCTGGATTCAGATCCTTGTAAGTTGTTAGACTGAAGACCTCAGCACCTTGCTTGCTGCTCAGTGACTTCCCCAGTTCCTAATCATACATTCCTCTTTCTCATGGCAGCTTGCTTCATCAGAATGATCCAGCAAGAACCAGAGAGAGCATGAGAAAAAGCAAGACAGAAGTCATGATATTTTGTAACCTAGTCTAATAATATCCATCATTTTTGCCATATTTTAGTAATTAGAAATGAGCTCTAGATGTTGTGATCTCACACTTAAGAAGGGGAACTACATAAGGGTATGAAAACCAGGAGACAAGGTCATTTGCTATCTTAGAAGTCTTTTCCAACACAGATGAACCAGTTAATATGCTGTAATAATGTTCCCTTTTGTAAATGCAACTCTTGGATAACTCTGGAATTAATCATTAGCTGTTTTTGTTCCTTTTTTTGTGTATGTGCACTTTTCATAATCCATTCCTAAACCCTTTGCTACAGTTTCACAGCTTCTTCCTGTGTGGGTAGGTGCATCAGGCTATCTTCAGTCCCAGTGTCACCTCCCTGGAGACAGTGCTCCCACTCTCCTCTGGGTGCTTTGTTTTGCAAGTCCGCTGAAAGGTGTCGTCCTGGGGCTTCCTTTTAACCAGCGTCTCGGAGATGTTCTTTGGCTTTCTCCTTCTGATGAGTCTCCTATATCTTGGCTCTTGTATATTTTTCCACTATCCTTGTTTATTATCTCATTTTGAATGAACACTTTGTAGCTTCCTGAGAAGAATCACATGGCCAAGTATAGAATTGTAGGTTATAAATCGTTTTTCTTCAGAATGCGTAAGGTATTATTGTATTCATTGTCTTCTAGCCTCCAATATTGAGAAGTCTGCTATTGTTCTTATATCTAGTCCTTTGTGTGTTTTTCTCTGTGAATGCTCTTAAAACATCCTTTGTTTACCCATTATTCTAAAATAATTTTGTAATATGTGTATTAATTCATCTTTTTAAATTTATTGTGCCTGGATAATCTGTGAGCCCTTTAAGGAACTTGAGTTCTTTAGTTCTGGGAAATTATTTTTAATTTTAATTCTGGTGTAGTTAACACACAGTACTATATTAGTTTCAGGTGTACAATAGCATGATTTATCAGTTCCATGCATTACTAAGTGCTCACTAAGACAAGTGCACTCCTAATCTTCACCTATTTCACACATCCTCCTCAACCCACTTTCCCTCCGGTAAACCATCTTTTCTCTATAGCTAAGAATCTGTTTTTTTGATTTCTCATTTTTTTTCCTCCCTTTGTTTGTTGTTTCTTAAATTCCACATATGAGTGAAATCATGTGATATTTGTCTTTCTCTGGCTTATTTCACTTAGTATTGTACTCTGTAAACCCATATATGTTGGAAATAGTGAGACTTTGTTCTTTTTAATGGCTGGATAATACTCCATTTGTGTGTGTGTGTGTGTGTGTGTGTGTGTGTGTGTGTGT